CTTTCAGTCTTAATCTGATGTAGATTTACAGGCAAACTCTCTAAATGTGAGAGAGAAAGTGTTGGCCGACAATAAAACTTACCATTGCTAGTAGGGTTGGGTACCGAACTCGGTACTTTTAAAGGTACCGACCCGAATTGCATCGGTACTACCGAGTACCGATTCACGTTAAATCAATCGGTGCCAAATTTCGGTATCTGAGAACGCATCTGGGCGCATACGCTACAGAGAGAGAAAGAGAGACCCTGTGATGTGAGGTCACCCCTGCAACTCGTTTAAACAACACACAGGGCAAACCGAAATGTTCAGAAGTGTGGTCACATTTCTAGGGCCATATGGTTTCTGCGAAAACGCGGACGGGATAGCGGAGTCCATTCATAAAAAGCGGTTTTGTTTACTACACAAATACTGAAGCACGCGTGACGCTCGCGGTGATTTCCGGCCTCTGCGTCTCACTATATGACGGCATGAACACAAAAACCTAATCTCCAGAGCTGCTGTGAGAGTCACTTCGCGAGAATTTTACCGTTTCATTTGAGAAAACTAGCATCATCATACTGTATGCACACAGAAACTTCATGGCAACCTGTCAAAATAAAAGTACGGTTTAACATGTAACAGAAATATATTACTCTTGTATTACTTTTGTACAGTATAATGTACATCTTTAAATATTCCATTTTCTATCAAATTTAAATAAAACAATTAAATTATAGAAATAAATACTACAACCAGATTAATCACTTAATTGTAGAAAAAAAGAATACAATTATTAGCCTATTAAAAAAATGTTTTAAAGGAATATTCACACAATTTTTCTTCCATGCATTAATTTCAACAGTAAACCTCAGTTTGTTTGGCAAAAAATAAAAGGGTTTAATTTTCATTTGATTTAAAATAAATGTTTAATGCCTTCATTTGATTTTCAGAAAAATTAAAACAAGAATTTCTGGGGGGGAAAAAAAAAGAAAGAAAGAAAAAGTTTGTAGGGCCCTATTGTTCAAAATGTTGAAATTGAGACTTTTGGACTTATTTTTTCACAGAAATAAATGTTTTTGTATTTACACAGAGAATAAAGTGCCGAAAAAAGGTACCGTTGGGTACCGGCACCGAAATTCAGGTACCGGTACCGTACCGGTTAAAATGTGAACGGTACCCAACCCTAATTGCTAGACATAGTTTCTGCAAATTAAGACCGTGGTGAATCATCGTTACTGTGAAAATATGCTTTTTAAAAGATGCTTAAAGCTTTTAACATTTCCTTATGAATTTGTTTTGATTTTACATGAGTAACACTACTTAAGCTTTCCGTTATTTTGGCGGCAACAATGGTTACCATGGCAAATCTTTTTACGTTTCTTTCACATTCACAGCTGCGGTGTGTGTGGGGTTAATAGGGTTGCCAGATGTTGCTTATTTGATGAGCGAGTTGCCAGATGTGATTGTGGTGTGCGTTGTGAGCTGCAGGTAAGGTGGTGGATGGAGCTTTATTGATTTGGCTCTGTGATTTCTGCACAGTGAAAAACCATAAAATTTCCCTTCACTAAAAGTGACCTCAGCCTACACGACTTTCTTCCTTCTGTCTGGCGTATCCCTTTTCATTTTTTGTACTTTTCATTTTGGTCATTCTAAATCATTAGTACTTTAGTTCTTTAGACAAATTCTCTGAGGAAGTAAATGACCTCTGTATAAAAGTGAGTTTGTAGTATTTGCTTTGTATTCTAGGCATGCACTAAATGAATTCAATGAAACTTGTGCTTTCACTGCATCATCAACACATTTCGTTCAGTAGGATGCAATCAGCGCCCTCTCTGGTCTGGGTGATTTGGTGATTTTACAGTGACAGGACATCTTCCATTCAGCATTAATACGAATTCATTGCTCTTCTCTTAATGTATACTTGTTTTTAAATCTGATTACTAGCAATCTATACCCTGAGCAGAAGAGGAGTTTACTTTCCATCTTGTGTATCTAAGTGCTTGTGATAATCTGAGTACTCTGTGTGTGTGTGTGTGTGTGTGTGTGTGTGTGTGTGTGTGTGTGTGTGTGTGTGTGTTTGTGTCTAAATTTAGTATTTCACTCTCACCTCTTTAGGTCTGCTAGTTGAATGCTTGGATTACCATCCAACCTTTGATCTTTAAGCATTCCTGCCCAAACTTCAGCCC